GTCAAAGCAATGGAAAATATATCGCAAACACAATAGAGGTATCAATATATATGAAAAATGACTAGATGACAATAAAACAAAATATGAAGTGTTTCAGTTTATATGGTAAGAATAATGCTATTTGTTCTAACAATCTCTGTTTTCAAATTCTCTTTAATTCTCTTTATCTGTTTACCAGTCCTTGTCTGTGGTGCTATGGGGTTAAGATCAAACAAGCTATAGAATCACACATGCTTGGGTTTTATTCATGCCTCTGCAACTTACTAACAGTACGTCCTTGAGCAAGTGACTTGACTTCTCTGAGACATACATATAGGGCCTGGCTGCCCAGATTACTATAAGCATGAAGAAAGATGATACAGACTAATGCTCAGCACAGGGTCTGTCATAGGTAGTAATTGGGCTATTGTAGCTCCTACAATAGGGAACTTGATAGGTTTGTGATTTTGCTATTTATTTACATATTTGCTCATCTTACTAATCCTCAGTTAAAAATACATGTGAGAAGTGTCCTCCAAATCTCACCAAATTTTTCTTCAGTTTCTTACCCTGTAGGTCCTATTTCTGTCTTGAGGGCATTTACCACATCTTGCTCCTCATATAATGTCTCTTTCCTCAGACATTGCCCCTCTCCATCTTCAGGATGGACTGTACGGCTCCTCATCGTCACTTACAATCTCTCTGGGGAGTTAGGATGGCTGGGTGAACCAGCTTTATATACTCCTTAGTCTATGGATGATGATAGCTCAGGGAACCTCCAGCAGCAGCAATTCCTGTCTTATTGTGTCCATGGCTTTCTGAGACAACGGTCAACTTAACTCACACACTCCCTCGTATAATGAAAAAATGAGGGAAAATGACATATACTTGGCCAATGACCCTCCATTATCTGGGTGCCAGTGCAACTGAGCATTGGAAGCTTTAGCTGAACTGAGTGGTGGTGGCTCATGCCTGTAATCTCAGCACTTTGGGAGGCTGAGGGAGGAGGATTGCTTGAGGGCAGGAGTTTGAGACCAGCCTGGGCAATATAGCAAGACCCCTGTCTCTACAGAAAAGAAAAAAAAAAAATAGCTGGGTGTGGTAGTGTGTGCCTGTAGTTCTAGCTACTTGAAAGGTTGAGGCAAGAGAATTGCTTGACTCCAGTAGTTAAAGGCTGCAGTGAGCTATTATTGCACCACTGCACTCTAGCCTGGGAAACAGAGCAAGATTCATTACTGGATGCCTATCACAAGCTTTCAAAGACTGTGTGTGGCCACCATCAGCTGAGACAGTGCTAAAAGGGAATCTGGTTGATGGTAATAACTTGAACGTCACTGGCCATCTGCTCCCTAGTCCCTCAGTCCCTTTCAAACTCCCCACTGCCCAGAACAACATTTCAGAGAATCTCTGGGAAGAGCAGCACACATATGGAGGCGTGGGCAGAGTAGCTGGCTGGGAGTGGCTCGCAGCCTAATGTGAGACTGATTCTGTAACACAAGAGAGGGTAATAAAAGACATAGCAAGTTTCAGCTGCAATTGGAGAAGTGATTTGAGCTTTGCATAGTGGTAAACCTCTCACACAGGAGGTGACACACTGCAGCGTGGACCCCTCTAGACTGAATGGAATGAATAGAGTTTCTGAAACCTGCTGTTTTAAGATCGTTATGAAATCCCAGGGAGAGAGTCGTGCCCAACCGCCCAGTGTGGCATACCTATAAGCAGGACAGAGTGTTTGCAATGGTCTTGTTCTCCTTCTCTGTGGGGGCAGATTTTCATTTTCTTCTTGCTTTGATAGGAAAGGGGGCAGATTTTAATGGTCACAATGATAAGGTTATTTGATGAAGTGTTTAAATCAAGGTAAGCTGCACGGGGGTAGGTAATTTTAGTTAATTGGAAATTTTATACGAGCAGTAGAAACTGTACTGGTATGTTTATTTTTAATTTATTTTTTTTATTTTTTGAGATGGAGTCTTGTTCTCTGGCCCAGGCTGGAGTACAGTTGTGTGATCTTGGCTCACTGCAACCTCTGCCTCCTGAGTTCAAGCGATTCTCCTGCCTCAGCCTCTGGAGTAGCTGGGATTACAGGCGCCTGCCACCACACCCAGCTAATTTTTGTAGTTTTAGTAGAGATGGGGTTTCACCATGTTGGCCAGGCTGGTCTTGAACTCCTGACATCAGGTGATCCACCCGCCTTGGCCTTCCAAAGTGCTGCAATTACACGTGTGAGCCACCGCACCCGGCCTTATATGTTTAAAGAACAAATAATGCCAAAAAATTTCTACCCATTTAATTCTGCTATTACAAAGCCTTTATAGGACCTAGTGGTGTGGTGTAATGAAAGATGCCTCAGACACAAAAGACCAAGATTCTAACGCAGGGTTTAACAGGAATTAACTGTGTGTTTTCTGCTTCCAGCTGTGATCCCCATCACTTTTGCAACAATCTTCTGCTGACATACTGGTCACCTTGCCTTCTGCCTCACCCTTGGAGGTATCAGGATATTTCCACAACACCCTCACAATCTCCAAATATCTGTTTGTGTCCTTCATGAATTGGTCAGAAGGATCAGTTCTCCTGAGGAGGTATTAGATGACCTACTATCTTTAGGAGAATACTTCCCTAGACAAAGGGGACAACGTCCATCGTGGACAGAAGACCTCACACTTTTGCCATAAAGCCCCTGTCCTCAATGTATCAGATTACAGAGCTCAGAGCTTTTCCCTGGCTCATGCAGTGATGCACAAGGCAGAGCCATACTGGCATTCATTGTGAATAATTAAAATCTACAAGTGAAATCTTCTCAAACATTTTATTGGAAGAACACAAATATTTTACAAAATGCAAGCAACCAAAGTGACAAAACACTTTGAAAACACAAAAATGAGGCCAATTAAGGAGAACTCAACAGCAGGTTTTCTAAATTACATTCTCTGTAGTGAAAGGGTATTAACGAGACTTAGCAGGCTGTCACTCATTCTTCAGTCTAGTTTTAAACTCTAGACCCCAAGAGTATGACTGGCTCAAGTAGGGTGAGGTGAAATGTACCAAACCAAGGAGCTATAGCAAGTCACATGGGAAACAGAAGGGTGTGGAAAGATCTCAGAGAAAACAGATCAGCCTGAGACTGCTGCCTTACATCCCAGGACAAAGATACAGTACACACATGTTTTGACCTGTCCCCATATGTAAAATATTTAAAACCATCTCTTAAGTACAAAAGCACACATCATAAACAATGAAGACAACCCAAAGTCCAAGCCAATCCAAAGTCAATTCTTGTTTATATGTATAAATAGCTGATGTCATGAGGCCACTCCTTGAGACAAAATCCTCCAGGTGAAGTGCATGGCTTCTGTAGAACTACTGTGATTTGATGAAATTCAAAAACACCTATGGACTAAAGGTCAAACTTAAACACTGCCAATGTAAAATACTACATGTAAATTGAAGAATCAAGGCAAACAATAATATGGAAGCAGTAATGGTATTACCCATTTTTCATGCAGAAGCATTATCCTTTCCTTGAGTTCTAGAACCTAAAAATATTTGGCGAGGAGCGCTCATCTGTAATCCTGGAAAGTTCTATGCTTACCTCTAACCCCAGATTCCCAGATCCACCACTTCTGGACTTCAGAGAAGACAGGTGCTTGGTTTCTGGCTTAAATTAAATCTCACATTCCGTAGCTCAGCAAGTTGACTGCAGACCAGTAGTCCAAGCTGACACTGGAGTGGAGTCTGTAACAGGCCTTTCTAGCATTCTGTAAGGCATTGTGTCTGATTGATGGGAGACCTGGAAATTCCATGAATCCCACTAGGATTAACTGAATACAGCCCACTGCTATTCTTTTCTCAAGTTAAACAGCAGTACACTAGGTTTGCATGTGAATATGAAGGTACGAAGGAAGCTCAGAAGACCAACACAAATCTAAATTTGTAGGTGGCCACCGTGGCAGCTGTCAGCAATCTATATATTGCATGACTAGAGTCAGCACAACGGACTGGAGGGTAAACTCAAATCCATAGGAATCTGGAGAACCTGATTCAAACTGTATATGAGGGCACAAGTTTTGCACATTCTTTCTAAACCTTTGGAGAGGCCCCTGCACTAAATATTCAGAAGAGGGGAACTGAGTCCTTATCTTCAGCCAAAAATTCTTCCAGGTGGTAGACATAACAAGGCATGCAAAGTAAATGTCTGTCTACTGCAGAGGACCAAACCTCTGCTAATTTAGGGCACTCAGGGACAGGAGGATGTGAGAGAAACTGTACAGCCCCACTGGTCAACAGACCATTGACATCGACATAACAATTTAAGAAATCTGTAAGCAAGTCTAATGGTTTCATTCCTCACTTGAACTGGCTATAGGAAAATCTTCATAAGGACACTGGTACGGGTAAAAGCATGCAAGGCTAAAGAATGGGCAAGTGCTCACACTTTATATTTGTCTTTGAGGTCCTGATTGCACAAGTTCCACATGAGAAAATTCTATGTACATGCCTGGCTTGGGGCAGGACACAGAAGTAATCACTGCCAGGGGTATACATTGTGGAAGCATACAGCACATCGAGCAGGATACAACAGCATCAGCAAGAGCAACAATTGTAACTCGGAAGAAGTCCTCCACATTATAATACTATATGTAACAATATAAGAGGGTGAAGGGCCACCTACCTCTGTGATCATTATTCACAGGCCTAAAGCAATACACACAAGAGGGCTGAGGCAGCAAAACCACCAACCAACAAGCCCACCACTCACTGGGAAAATGTAAATAAGAACTTGTCCCCATCATCCACGTCTCACTGTTGCCGGTGAGCCATGTATCCTCTATCACATCTGTCAACGTGCACTGTTGTCCTGTGTCCTCCAGCCATGCTGCTGCAAAGGTCCTGTGAGGGAAGGGGAAAAGGGACAGGAGGCACTTCCCCGAACCCTAATGCCCACTGCACCGTTCACAACAAAGTCCCTTGTCTTCTGAACTGAGTGCATTTCTGTCATTTCTGCTTGATCTTCTGGAGGCATGAAGTGGGTTATCCCCTGTGCTCGCCTCTCCTCAAATCGTGGGAAACGATTGGAAGCAAAAATGTCTGGGCTGCATGAAAATGAGGTAAAGAGAAAATAACTTGCGCAGTTGAAACCAGAACCTCAGCTGAGCCCTCCTGAGAAAGATACAGGGAAATGCCAGTCACAGGCAGTGCTGAAGACCTCGAACAAAGCTACAGGAGAACACCCTGGATTAAGAACAAGATGAGAGTACAGCATATCGGTGAGGATAGAACAGCATCAGCAAAATCATCAGCAGTAACTTTGAAGAAGTCCTCCACATTATAGTACTATGTAACAATATAGGAGGGTGAAGGGCCACCTACCTCTGTGGCCATTTTTCGCAAGCCTAAAGAGATACAGAGAAGGCCGAGGCACCAATACCTTCATCAACAGACAAGCCCACCACTCACTGGGAAAAAAGAACATAAGGACCTGTCCCCATCATCCATGTCTCACCTTTGCCAGTGAGCCATGTATCCTCTATCACATCTGTCAATGTGCACTGTTGTCCTGTGTCCTCCAGCCATGCTGCTGCAAAGGTACAGTGAAGGAAGGGGAAAAGGGACAGGAGGCACTTCCCTGAACCCTTATGCCCACTGCAACTTTCACATCAAAGTCCCTTGTCCTCTGAAGTGTCTGTATTTTCGTTATTTCTGCTTGATCTTCAGGAAGCACGAAGTGGTGAACTCCTGTCCCCTCCTCTCCTCAAATTGTGGAAAAGGACTGGCAGCAAAAATGTTTGAGCTGCATGAAAATGAGGTAAAGAGAGAATAACTTAAGCGGTTGAAAGCAGTACCTCAGCTCAGCCCTCCTGACAATGATAGAGGGAAATTCTTGTCACAGGCAGTGCTCAAGAGTTCCAACAATGGTGTAAGAACACCGTGGATTATGACCAAGATGAGGGTGTACAGCACATAGGTGAGGATTCAACATCGTCAGCAAAAGCAACAGCAGTAACTTTGTAGAAGTCTGTCACATAATTGAACTATATGACCTTATAAATCATTAACAATATACAACAGTTTGAAATTTCAGTTGGAAACTGAAGTTCCCGATGCATACAACATGGTGCCTCCCAAAGTGAAATGCCTGACCAAGATCTGGCACTCCAGCATCACAGAGACAGGGGAAATATGTCTGAGTTTACTGAGAGAACATTCAATTGACGGCACTGGCTGGGCTCCCACAAGAACATTAAAGGATGTTGTTTGGGGATTAAACTCTTTGTTTATTGATCTTTTGAATTTTGATGATCCACTGAATATTGAAGCGGCAGAACATCATTTGCGGGACAAGGAGGACTTCCGGAATAAAGTGGACGACTACATTAAGCGTTATGCCAGATGATAAAAGGGGACGATTGCAGGCCCATGGACTGTGTTACAGTTTGTCTCTCACGTGAAACAGCAGGAGGTAGCCCCCTCTCCCGTCCTCACGCTCCCTCTCAGTCTCCTGGATTGCCCCAGTCCTGTGACCATGTTGCCCTGAAGAAGACCATCTTCATGACTGCTCATTGTAGATGGAGAATTCAACATAAATAAAGCAAGAAAATATGTTTGGGCTTCTGAAGAGTTGTCTGTTTACCTTACCATGCTTACTTTTTTGAACTTGCACTGTATAGGCGATTGGTGAAATTCTTAAGAAGTTGTAATGAACTCAAAATTGAGGCCAGAGCTTGCTTTCCCTTTTCCCCAACAAAATTGGTTTTCTGCACAAGCGATGCTAATGATGTGTTTCGTGTAACTTGCAGATTGGCAATAAGATATCCACTACAAACTGTGATTGGATGCAAAATCTCTTAGCTTCTTTCACGAATGTTGGCCCTGCCTAGATGTTGTGAAGCTTCCCAGAATGCATAGTCATTCACTGTAGATCTCTTATTGAAACGCATATTTTATTTATTGTAAGTATATTTTGGAACAGATTTGTAATTTGCACAATTTAATGCTTTATTTTTTCTATTCTCATTTAGTTTGTATTTTCATTGTATAGAGCAGACAGAAAGATGTTGAGTCAAGCAACTGTTGAAGAGAAATACAAAGAAAATATGAAAGGCTCATTAAAAAAAACAATATACAACAGTAAAGAGAAGAAGCTGACAAGGCTAAAGTTGTATCAAGAGACAAGCCCACCATTCCCTAAGGGGAAGGAAAATAAGGACATGTCCCCATCATCAATATCTCAACTTTGCATGTGGGCCATACATGCTCATAGGACATCTATCGATGTGCATTGTTTTCCTCTGGCATATTCTAGAGATTCCTCACATTCCTGCTTGAACTCTTAGGTAGCCTGAAATAGGGAAACACTGTGCCCTCCTCTCCTCAAATTGTGGCTCCCCTTTATCATGTAACAGCTTCAGCAGCTGGAGTAATACACAGGATGCATAAATCACTTACGGTTGTGTCTGTAACACTCTCCTTGGAAGCACATGCCAGGTCACCCTGAGACGATGTAATTTCCCCTCTGAGAGGACAAAATGGCAGATGGGTCAGACCACCAAGTGGCAACAGCTTATAAACAGGGAAAGCGCACCCCACGTGCCCTTTTCAACATGAGGAACAGGAGAGGATAAGGTGTTAGCCTGGATATCTGATCTGGGAGCTTCCTGAACTCTCAAGCTCTTCTACAGATACCTATAAGGATCCAAATTTCAGCAGCTTCATATACTGTTCATTGACAGGAAACACATGACCTTTCTGTTCCCACCAACGTGCAGAGTATGATCAACGGAAGAGTGCAAGAAGCTAACAGAGAAATGATTGAAAAACGTCAACTGTGTTCCTGTTCACTGAATCAGGGGTCCTCATAATGCCTGACATGCCATTGCTCTTCACCGTGGAAACCATGCAGTGCAGCACATTAGTGTCTGAGCACAGAATCCTGACAAAAGGCCATCATCAGTCTCTTCCCTAGACTCCAAATTTCCCGTGCCCCAAATGCTGCCAATGCCAGTGTGTGTTTCCTGTATGACCTCGCACAGACATTTGAATCAATGGAGCATGGAATAAAAACGTTGCTGTGTCGTATGTTAGAAGAATATATCAGTAACAACACTTCACTTTCCTAATTCTCTGCTGGTGAACAGAGTTCACCACAAATATGAAAGACTGAGTGGTCAACTCAACCAAGACTGACGGCTTCCCAGAAACAATCGCAGTTGCTTCTCAGATATCTCCCTCAGATTGTTCTACTAAGCTACCATAAAAGAGGTGAAGCCCACCTTTTCCTGAGCCACTTTTCACAGGCTAAGGATATACACAGAAGCCAAGCCTTCACCAGTAGCCAAGTCCAGCATTCTCATGGATAATGGAAAGTAAGGTTCTATCCCCATCATAAAAGTCCCGTCTTTGCTAAAAGGTATACTTCTCACGTTACACTCAACAATATGCTTTGTTGTAGTGCCAGGCATGGAGAATGGAGGAGGAAATACTCCCTTGAATACAGAGTGCCCATGGCAACTTTCCCATCAGAGTCCCTTGGCCTCAATCTCTAGGGAGCAGCTCCACACAGTGCCTCTGCTTGCAGCCCTTTCCCCACCTCTAGGCTGTAGGCCCTTGGTGAAGGGATGATGTGTCATTCCATCTTTCCTGATCAGAGAAGCCCTTCCCCTTTTCCAAGCCTCTAACCTCTATAATTCTTGTTATTAAAACAACAGATAAAGTATCTGGGGACCCATGAAATCCATTTACTTCAAAACATATTGTCCTATTCACAAGCATTTTTAGCATCTGTTATCTCTGCAACTACAAAATCACCTGTCTGTCCTCTGGATAATGATATTGACTGGAAAATGGAGAGGAGACGGAGGTTGGGGTAACTAATGCTTTTCCTAGCAACAAAAACATACTTTAAAAGGCTTCTCACAGCTTATAATTAATCCCACAGAATTCAAGGCCAGCTAAAACCTAGATCTAAGTCCTCCTCCACCAGCACTCACAGTATTTTGGCTGTGATACTGTGTCAAGGTAAGTATATGTTCTATAGTCATTAATGTCCTTTGAAAAACAGAGATAATAGCAGTATTTAATACACATTTTTTATAGGATTAGATAAGAAACTGTTCTTGGTTTTAGTAAGGCTTTTATCAGTGGTAGCCTTGGCTGATTTGTTTTAGCAGCATTATCAGCACTATCATCATCACCAGCACCATTATCATCTTCCTTTCTAGTAGACTAAGATGTCTCTCAAAATGACCACTGTTGTCCCAGTTACACTACTGGATGCATTTAATAGAGAACTAGTATAACAAGGAATACAATCAGTTGCATTTTTCTGAATGGTTAATGTCTCCCACTTGTGGCTGGCCCTTATGCTACAAAATAACAAGTTGGGCACTAAGAAGATTCAAGTTGGCATTTAAGGTAAGAGATACAAGCCTTCAATCCCAGGGATAGAAATGTACCTTTCATATATATATATATATATATATATATATATATATATGAAAGACTTTTTCAAATTTCTGAGTGTGAGAGCATAAATTTACTTGATAAAAATTATAATGTCAAGAGTCCTAATTTTTAAAAAATGGGTATTGTCACGGAGCAGCCTAACTGGAAATGATCCAAAATGGTCACAATGGGTGTAATTCTATGTAGACATATTTTAGTGAATTCAATTTCATTATATTCTCCTGAAATCTCTCTACTTTGTACATGAGTGCACATTACATCTCTAACCCAAAATGTCATTTTAAAAAAAGATAAAAAGATCAGCCTTCATATTTGTTTCAGCAAATACTAGTGAAATCAATTGTCTCCTACATATATAATCCATACACTTTCAGTCAAAAGCCTTGCCTTAAAGTGTCTATTATCATGCATTCCCTTCCCATGACATATAAATAAGAGGCGTGAAAAAACATGTTAAGGCAAATGTGACATGGAACACTTCACACCAAAATTTACAGCACATTAACATTCCTACTAGTGAAGAGTCGTTCATTAACTACATGCCTGATGAGACTGTCTGTGCTGGCCTAGGAATGAATTCCTGGGAAAGATTCAAGGAGCAAGGTCCCACTTTAAATTCAGAGGAGGCCCACTTTGTTTTTCATCCAGCATCCTGATCCCTGAAACTGTCACCAAAGAGACACCTATCTGGATCCCCCTACTTTGTGAATGCTTCTAAAATGCCAGTAGAGCCAGGCATGATAGCTGATGACTGTAGTCCCAGCACTTTGGGAGGCTGAGGCAGGAGGATTGTTTGAGCCCAAGTTTGAAGCCAGACTGGGCGATACAGCAAGACCCCATTTCTACAAATTTTTTTTAAAACCCCAAATATTAAAATGCCAGTAGTCAGAATTACCCACTAAACCATTCATTTTGGTTTTCCCCACAGCCTCTTACACAACAATAAAGTGATTCAAGATGACTGTGCCAGTGCAGGGGCAGAGGGCACAACACATGCGTGTGTAACAGAGAGGAGGAGTCACGGTTACCTTGTTTCACATCTGCTTTTGACTAGGAAATAAGCCATTCTAGGTCACTATCACATTATTTGGTTAAGAAACATGGGTTTGCGGTAAAGCTTTTCTATGTGTATCTCAGGTCTCAGTTTTTCATCAGGTGGGAAATAATAATGACCCTCATCATCCAAGGATTTAAAGTAACTTAATGAAATACAGGGATAAATCAGAAGAGCATGAATATCATTGTGTTGGATAAAGGCTAGACATTTTAGTGTCTATTCAAAAGGAAATGTGGAATTTGACCTAGGGTGAGTGACTTCACGTTCTGTGATGCCACCTTCTGAATGAAACTTGTGTCAAGAGAAAAGTAGAGAAACCAAACCAGAAGTATCTATTGAGACTAAAGGTTAAAAGTCTCTTTGAGAACATTTGAGAATAGTGCATATTTTCATCTAGCACTTTTCTTACCCTCTGTCAAATTGTCAAGTGTCTTCACCTGAATTTCAATAAATTAATCACCACACCTAAAAGAAATGACTTTACATAGGCAAAGAGAAGAGACCTCTCTGGCAGTGCCAGTCAACAGGCTCCCTCCAGGCTGCACAGTTTACAGATGGTAGCGAGTCCCAATGGGTGCTGGGTAATGAGCCCTGTTAGGGTCCATGTAAGGTATCCAAGCTGGCCGGAACAGAATGTGGCTCAGAAAAAAGAAAAGCCAGAGGTCCTGGCTGCCTCTTGCTTCACAGCAGAATTAATGAGCTGTGGTTTCCAAGGAGATGCCTCAGTAATCCCTGAGGAAGCTTGCTGGCCCTGGGAAGGCAAACAAACACTTAAATAACATTATGGCAAAGACAAACAGCTTGGGCAGGGGTGGGGAAGCAGTGATAGGAAGGGAATGAAACTGAGCACCCTCATGTTCTCCAGTATATGGATTCAGGAAGTAGGATACTAATTCCTTGACCATCTCTTGTGTGCTAGGCCCTTAACAAGGATGATCACACTTGATTCTCATAACATCCC